CCTCCAACTCCCGGGCTCAAGTGAGTCTCCTGCCTCAGCCTCCCAAGTAGCTGGGACCACAGGCGCCCTCCACAATGCCTGGCTATTTTTTGGTTGCAGCCATCATTGTTTGGCGGCCTGGGCTGGATTCAAACCCGCCACCTTTGGTGTATGTGGCTTGTGCCTTAGCCACTTGAGCCACAGTCACTGAGCCGAGACTCTGTCTTAAAAAAAAAAAAAAAAAAAGCCAAACAAAAAAATGAAATGAATTGTTGGGCTTCCAGCTGATGTTGAATATTCAGAGAACTGGAGAATTATTGGTGTAGGAAAAAAACATCTCAGATACAATCCACCAGATTTTCTTGAGATTTCTCATTTTACTTATACTCATTTGAGTTTAAGTATATATATACTATCTGTATATATTTAGTTTCATGTAAACTCACCACATATGTATATTCATGTATCCATCACCACAGTCAAGATAGAGAACAGTTTCACCACCATAAGGATCCCTCATGTTGCTACCTCCGCCCATACTCCCTCTCCCTCTTAATCCCTACCAACTACCAAGTAATCTGTTCCTCACTTAGATAATTTGTCACCTCAGGAATGTTAAATAGGCTCAGCATCCGTGGCACAGTGGCTATAGCAGTGGCCACTTACACTGAGGCTGGCAGGTTGGAACCCAGCCCAGGCCGGCTAAACAACAATGACAAATGCAACAAAAAATAGCTGGGAGTTGGGGTAGTGCCTGCGGCTCAAAGGAGTAGTGTGCTGGCCCTATATACCAGAGGTGGCAGGTTCAAACCCAGCCCCTGCCAAAAACTGCACAAAAAAAAAAACGCTGGGAGTTGTGGCAGGTGCCTGTAATCCCAGCTACTTGGGAGGCTAACGCAAGAGAATTGCTTAAGCCCAAGAGTTGGAGATTGCTGTGAGCTGTGATGCCACAGCACTCTACCGAGGGTAACATAATGAAACCCTGTCTCAAAAAATAAATGAATAAATAAATAAATAAAATAAAATAAAATCACAGAATAGGCTGGACACGGTGGCTCACGCCTATAATCCTAGCACTCTAGGAGGCTGAGGTGGGTGGATTGCCTTAGCTCAGAGGCTCGAGACCAGCTTGACCTCGTCTCGGAAAATAGCCGGGCGTTGTGGCAGGCACCTGTAGTCCCAGCTTCTCAGGAGGCTGAGGCAAGAGTTTGAGGTTGCTGTGAGCTATGACACCACCATACTCTACTGAGGCAACAAAGTGAGACTCTGTCTCAAAAAAAAGAAAAAAAAATGGCTCAGTGCCCATAGCTCAGAGAGTAGGGTGTCAGCCACATACACCAAAGCTGGCAGGTTCGAGCCCAGCCCAGGCCTGCTAAACAATAATGAATGCCATTTGCAACCAAAAAATAGCCAGGTGTTGTGGCAGGTGCATGTAGTCCCAGCTAGTTGGGAGGCTGAGGCAAGAAAATCACTTAAGCCCAAGAGTTCGAGGTTGCTGTGAGCTGTGATGCTAGGCACTCTACTGAGGGCAACATAGTGACACTCTGTCTCAAAAAAAAAAAGGTAAACACATGAAAAGAGGCTCATGAGTGGCGCCTGTGGCTCAAAGGAGTAGGGTGCCAGCCCCATAGGGCAGAGGTGGTGGGTTCAAACTCAGTCTGGTCCAAAAAAAAAAAAAAAGAAAAGAGGCTCAACATCATTAGCCATGATTGAAATGGAAGGAGAAATCAAAACCATAATGAGATGACATTTCACACCCATTAGGATGGCTATACTCAAAAAGACATATAGTAACAAGTGTGGACAAGGAGAGAAAAAATAGAGAAAATAGAACCCATGTACATTACTGGTGGGAATGTAAAATGGTATAGTCACTTGAGAAAAATCTATAAGGCAGGTTTTTTTTTTGAGAACCTCAAACTCTTGGGGTCCTGTGATTCTCTTGCCTCAGCCTCCCAAGTGGCTGGGACTACAGGTACCCACCACAATGCCTGGCTATTTTTTAGAGACAAGGTCTCACTTTTGCTCAGGCTGGTCTCGAACCTATGAGCTCAGGCAATCCACCCATCTTGGCCTTCCAGAGTGCTAGGATTACAGGTGTGAGCCACCATGCCAGGCCCAGTAGGGCAGTTCTTTAAAATGTTATACATATTCCATTCCTAGATATATACCCAAGAAAAAAGCAAGCATGTATCCATATAAAAATGTGTATAGAAATATTCTGAGCAACATTATTCATAATAGCAAAAAAGTAGAAACAACCAATATCCACCAACTGATATAACTGCAATAGTGATTTGGAATGACAATAAAAAGGTCCCCAGCCTATAATTTCTTTTAGTATTCTTATAGTTACTATTGTTTCTTCTGTGACAGGGTCTCCTTCTGTCACTAGGCTAGGAGTGCAGTGGTGTCATCATAGCTCAGTGCAATCTCAAATTACTGGATTCAAGCAATTCTCCTGCCTTGGCCTCCTGAGTAGCTGGGATTACAGACATGTGCCAGCATATCCATATAAATATTTTATTTTTTGTAGAGATGGGGTCTGGCTATGTTGTTTAAGCTGATCTCAAACACCTAGCCTGAAGCAATCCTCTTGCCTTGGCCTACCAAAGTGTTTGGATTACAGGAGTTAGCCACCTTACTTGGCCTTTTTTTCTGTTGTTCTTTTTTGCTTTTCACTGAGACAGTCTTGCTCTATTATCTAGGCTAGAGAACTAAGCTCACTTTGCAACCTTAAACTCCTGGACTCAAGCAATCCTCCCACTTTAGCCTCCCAAGTAGATGAGACTATAGGTGCATGCCACCATACCCAGTTAATTTTTCTATTTTTCTTTATTTTCTTTTTTATCAAGGAAGAACATGAATGCAGTGACCCACTACCACAAATTATGCAAATACCCCACATTTGGGTAAATAACAGGAGTCAGCACACCTGGAGTGCTTCAAGCTCCCAAAATGCTAGGATTATGGGTGTGAGCCACTATACTCTCCTTTTGTTTCCCTCAAATATTAACCTCTTTAATAAATCCCTAAATTATTTTAATATAATAAGTTAGTGAGTGAGTCTTTGGGTCCACCAGAAGTGTGATACAATTGAAAGCCCCTGGGCTAGGATTCAGAAGGGTTGGGTTCTAGTCTTGGCTGTGCCATTACCTAGGTGAATCACCCTGGACAGGCCTCCAATGTGTGGAACCTTCATTTTCTACTTAACACAACTGTTTTGAGAAATAAATAAAATTATAGGCATAAAAGGGCTTCTCCAAAAATGCTCAACAGATATCTCTTTACAAAGAAAATTTTAAATATTACACATAATGTATATTTGTATTATTTACAATACTAGTCCCATAAAACTCACACTGTTAAGCCTCAAAGAAAAGTACCTTGTCCTTCCCAAAATCTTGTCCATAGAGGTCAAGTTACATGCCTAGGATCAAAAGTGAAGTCTAGGAAGCAGTTGGTTCCAGAAGTGAACCCAATTAGCCATACATTAGCCCTCACCTAACTCATAAAACACCACTCTTCTGATAAGACCTGCCAGCTAAAAATGAACTGTCATCACTTGTCTGTCTTATTTAGATGCTAAAAACAAATAAAAAACTACTACCTGAAAAATGTACAGCCTATAATTAGGATGTGGTGAGGGTGACAGCAGAGAGTTAAAATGGGAGGGCTAAATTTCAAGTTATGGGATCCCACCTTGCTTCCGACAACCTGGGATTTTGACAAAGGCTCCATAGTCTGTCACCATAGCAACCTATAAAGACAAAAAAAAAAATCAATGTCACACAAATGAGAATCTTTCTTTCATAGCACTTAACCTAGTCTCCCTGAATTTCTACTTGGTACTGACTGCTTCTATGTGCTATAAAACTGCCTAAAAATGATGGCTCTGTCAAACAATCTTTCTGTTCTGTTTAAAATTTAGACTAACAGATACGCATGTACACATTAAAAACATTGGTGAGATTGGAATGTTGTCACTGAGTATGATGGGATCAAGAGATGTCCAAACTACTGCAATCATCAAAGGAGATTTGTACAGAAAACCAACAAAAACTAAGTATTGATATCATCAAAGGAATTTCATGAACTAAAGGAACAAACAGCAAACAAATAATAAAGTTACACCTTATATTAGGTGGGACTGATGCCTCTAATCCTAATGCTGAGAACTTTAATAATTTGGGATTGATCATGTAGGACATCCTTTATTCCCAAATTTCAAGTAAAACTAGACCAAGAGTTTCACTCCATATCTGTGTCTTTGGCATTATTTTTGTTTTTTTGGGGGGGACAGAGTCTCACCTTATTGCCCCAGACTAAAGTGTCATGGTGTCAACCTACCTCACAGTAACCACAAACTCCTGGCTTCAAGAGATCATTCTGTCTTATCCTCCCGAGTAACTGGGACTACAGGCACCCACCACAACCCCTGGCTAAGATTTCTGTTTTTAGTAGAAATGGGGTCTCTTCCTCAGGCTGGTCTCAAAGTCCTAAGCTCAAGGGATCCTCCCACCTCAGTCTCCCAGAGTGCTAGGAGCCACTGTGCTCAGCCTGAGTCATGGGTTTTATCAAGACAATTATATAGGCTCGGCGTCTGTGACTCAAGTGGCTAAGGTGCCAGCCACATATACCTAAGGTGGTGGGTTCGAATCCAGCCCGGCCCGCCAAAACAACAATGATGGCTGCAACCATTAAAAAAAAAATAGCTGGGTGTTGTGGCGGGCACCTGTGATACCAGCTACTTGGGAGGCTGAGGCAGGAGACTCGCTTGAGCCCAGGAGGTGGAGGTTGCTGTGAGATGTGATGCCATAGCACTCTACCCAGGGGGATAGCTTGAGGCTCTGTCTCAAAAAAAGGACAATTATATAAAAAGCCAATACACAGGGTAACGGAGTAGAACGCTGGCCCCATATATCGGAGGCGGTGGGTTCAAACCCAGCCCCGGCCAAAAACTGCCAAAAAAAAAAAAAAAAAAAGCCAATACACAGACATCTGATAAAACCTGAAAAGATATAATCAGAGAGAAAAAGAATTCTCCCAAGTCTTTTACAGAATTAATCTCAAACACCTAAATTAGAGGCTTGATGGGTCTAGCACAGCCTTACTTTTTTTTTTTTTTGAGACAGAATCTCACTTTATCACCCTAGGTAGAGTGCCGTCACGTCACAGCTCACAGTAACCTCAAACTCTTGGACTTAAGCAATTCTCTTGCCTCAGCCTCCAAGTAGCTGGGACTACAGGCATCCACCACAACACCCAGCTATTTTTTTCTTTGTTGTTGTAGTTGTAGTTGTCATTGTTGTTTAGCAGGCCCTGGCCAGGTTCGAACCTGCCAGCCTCAATATATGTGGCTGTTGCCCTAACCACTGAGCAACAGGCATGGAGCCAATCATACGTATGTATACACACACACATATATATGTAAATTACTATATGTTATATAGTAATCAGTTATATATATTATTGAGTTATTCTTATATATTAATAATTAATATAATTGTTATAATTATGTATAATTGTATACATTATATAAATGTAATTACATATTATATAGTAAATTACTATATATTATATAGTAATTAATTATATGTTATTAATATATAAATATGAGTTATTCTCATATATTAATAATATAATTGTTATAATTATGTATTATATGATTGTATACATTATATAACACATAATTATATATTAATATTACATAATATTAATATTATATATATTTATATAAATATATGTAAGATTGGCTTGGCACCTGTGCTCAGTGGTTAGGGCACTCAGCTATGGGCACCAAGCCAATCTGACATTTTTTATATAAATATGTATATGTCATATATATTTTATATAAATAGATATTTTTAAATATCTATTTATTATATAAAAATATTTATATATGATTGGCTTGAGGCCTGTAGCTCAGTGGTTTATATACATATATAAATTTTATTCTTTTCAGTATTGTTAATTAGTTGCTTCATCTTGGGCAATCACTGCTGCAGCTTCACCAGACTAAAACAAGGAGACCAAGCAAGACAATCTCTGCTATATTGCTATTCACTAATACTCTATAAATTAAATACTTACTATATGCAAAAATATTCCAAATGCTTTGCATTATCCTCATGTCACTAATGAAGTTGCTATTATTATTCCCATTCAACACATGACAAAGTAATGCATGAAGAGATTAAGTAGTTTACCCACGGTCCAAAACTAATCTGGGATTTGAACCTAGAGAGTCTTTAGTAGTTACACTACAGCTGTTCATGGGTTCTCTTTAACCATAAAATTCTAATGGCCAAAAGCAACGTGATATCTGATATCCTATCTGTTCCTGGTAACAACCCTAGAAAATATATAAGGTAGGTCCCTATGTTACAGATGAGACATAATAGAGGTATAGCAGGGTATAGTAGCCCCAGCTACTCAGGAAGCTAAAGCAGGATGATCACTTGAACCCAGAAGTTCCAGTCCTGCCTGGGCAACATAGTGAGATTCTGTCCTTAAAAAACTTTTTAAAAAGGCCGGTACAGTGGCTTATGCCTGTCATCATAGCAGTTTTGGGAAGCCAAGATGGAAGGATTGCTCAAGCTCAGAGCTAAAAATAGAAAAAATTAGCTGGTCATTGTGGTGGCACTTGTATTCCCAGCTACTTTGGGAGGCTGAGGCCAGAGGATCACTTGAGCCTACTTGAGCTTGGAGTTTGAGGTTGTTGTGAGCTAAACTGATACCATGGCATTCTGGCCTGGGGTAAAAGAATTGTCTCCCAAAAAAAACCTAAAAAAGAAAAAAAATTTTAAAAAGAAACAAAGAACAGCCTAAGTGTAGAAAGAGCACAGGCTTTAAATGTGTCTTCCAATCCCAGCTATGCTGTTTCCTACCTATAGGATTTTGAACACAACTTGTCTTTCAAGGTCTAAGTTCCCATTTGTTTTCACTTTGCTGCTACAGATAACAAATGATGTACATAAGGTGCCTGGCACTGGTATCTGACACATATTGTACATACAATAAAGTATAACTTTTTAATAATTTATAGTCCAAGATAATAAAGCATAAAAAGATTAGTGACTTGTAGGAAGGCACACAACTAACTTAGACAGAACCTAGATCCCTTACTCCTATTCTAGTGTCTCTTACTTCACCAAATATCATCACGCACTACAATATTAGGATGGAAATAGACCAAAAACTTTCATTCTCCTTATTTAATGGGGATATTGGGACAGAGCACTTGAATTAACTCTGCAAGACACAGCATAAAAAATATATTGTAAACCAAAAGTTCTAGACTGTTTTACACTGATGAACATGCTATGCTGGGGGAGGGTTCCAAGGAAACAGTAAAAATCACAGATACTTAAAATTCAGGCAAAATGCAGGCAGAGAAAGGACTTTAGAGATTAGCTGGTCCACTGTATCATTTTTCAAATGAGGAAAGTGAAGCCAGAGATGCAAAGAGATTATTCAAGTTCACAAAGCAATTTGTTCTGAGTAAAAGAAGCCAGATAAAAGAAAAATCTTTTGATTTTTAATTAAAATCAAAGAAAATCCATCTTTCTGGATCAACTAAAGGTACTCTGATTGGCATCTGGCCCAGGGTTCTAGAAAGAAGGCTGAAAATTCTCATGTTGTATAACAACATTACTGAATTATCTAACAAACTTAAAAGTAGCATCTGAAAGTTGGAATTGAAATCACCTTGCTACTACTGTAAATTAAGATAATCTCACTTTTCAATCCTAAAGCTCCAGTGTCACATTACAGTCTTTACAGTTAATACAACAGAACTTAATTTGGCCTCTCCCAAAAGGAAAGATTAATGTGCTTCAGAATGGATGCACTCAACTGTTCAGTTAGGAAAAGGTATTCTTTCCAATCCCAGCATCAGGTGTTTCTGTCATTGTGTCTCCTAGGGTGCAGTCAGAGTTGAAATTAACAGGACAGCACCTGTTGTAGATGACCATACAATCTGCCTGGTGTCCCAAGAATAATTAGTCAAACAGCTCAAGGGAAGAAATTCAGTAATTATCTCAACTGAATTTAGGGCTTGGGTAAAATAAATTTCCTACCTTCATATTAGAGGTGGCACTGACCTTGAAATTTGTTATCCCCATAATGTAAATGAGAAATTTGAAGCTCAGAGTCATAAACCACAAAGTTAGTAGTGCAGGCAGGGATAGTATAGATATTTTTTGACTTTCAATCCAATGTTTCTTCCACCTTACCAGTACCAATATCCCCTCAGCCTGAGATCAGGAGTTCGATCAGCCTGAGCCATCTCTACTAAAAATAGAAAAACTGGCTGGGCATTAGAAAAACTACTGTCTGGCACCTGTAGTTCCAGCTACTCGGAAGGCTGAGACAAGAGGATCATTTGAGCTCAAAAGTTTAAGATTGCTATGAGCTATGACACCAGGACACTCAACCCCAGGGCAACAGAGTAAGCCTCTGTCTTAAAAAAAAGGGGAGGGGGCGGCGGCTATGGCTCCAAGGAGTAGGGCGTTGGCCCCATATGCCAGAGATGGTGGGTTCAAACCCAACCCCGGCAAAAAAAAAAAAAAAAAAACAGAAGCCAAAAGCCACAATTATCTATAACCAACTGATGAAGTCTACCCTCAAAGATCTCAGATCATCAGGAGGTAAAACTTTTGTCAAACAGAAAGCAAGTAAAAATGCCAACTATGACTGACATTGCTAAAATACTACAGGCATTCATAAGACATGGAATGCAATTAATTTTTTGGCTTTACTTTCACTTCATGAGGAGAGAGAGAAAACATTAATGAATTCCTGTGTCTGGGGCTTGTATTTTTATAGTTGATAACTTACTTAACCATCACCGTAATCCTGTGGAAGTAGTTATTATCTCTATTTAACAAGAAAACTGACATTCAAAGAGATTAAGTCACCCATCAAAGTCTTAAAGAACACCCATTAGGTAAAGGAGCTGGAACAGACTACAGATTGTCAGGCTCCAAAGCCATTGCTCTTGAAATATACAATGTCTTTTCCTCCAAATGTCAATCATTCATTTAGTATCAAGCATCTCCAGCTATTTTCTACCTACCCACCTAAGATTGAGATACACAATTGGCTAGGTGCAAAGGTTCACACCTGAAATCCTAGCACTTTGGGAGGCTGAGGTACAAGGACTGCTTGAGACCAGGAGTTCAAGACCAGCCTGAGCAACATAGAAAGTACCCACATACCTATAAAAAATAAAAAAAGTTAGCGGGACATGATAGCACACGCCTGTGGTCCTATCTGAGACAGGAAGATCACTTGAGTCCTAAAGTTTGAGGCTGAAGTAAGCTCTAATGACACCACTACACACTAGCCTAGGCAAAAGAGTAAGACTATGTCTTAGGGGGGAAAAAAGAGATATACAATAAAACAGAGAGAGCTCTGCTCTCATTGAGCTTAGTGTCTTGTGAAAAAACCGACCTTAAACAACTACACAATTCAATACAAAATGAACCCATTTATTTATACCCAGTAAAAAAAATCTCTGAGGAGATAACATCAGGGCTGAAACCTAAAGGATGAAAAGAATATGGTGGGAAAGTGGATAGAAGGAACAGTGTCTTGGTCCACTCATGTTCCTAAAACAAAATACCATAGACGAGATAGTTTATAACAATAGAAATTTATTTCTCACAGTTCTGGAGGCTGATAAATACAAGATCAAAGCACCAGATTTGGTGTCTGATAAGGGTTTACTCTCTGCCTCCAAGATGGCACCCTGTCACTATGTCTTCACACAGCAGTCAAGAACAGAAGGGCCAGACAGCAATCTGAAATCTCTTTTGTAAGGGCACTCTTTTTTTTTTTTTTAAGAGACAGAGTCTCATTTTCTCGCCCTCGGTAGATTGCCAACTCACAGCAACTTCTAGCTCTTGGACTAAGGCGATTCTCTTGCTTCAGCCTCCCAGGTAGCTGGGGCTACAGGCGCTTGCCACAACACCCAGCTATTTTTTTGTTGCAGTTTGGCCGGCGCTGAGTTTGAACCCACTACCCTAGGTATATGGGGCCACTGCCCTACTCACTGAGCCATAGGCACTGCCAGCACACTCTGTTTACAAGGGCTCTGCACTTGTAATTTAACCACTTTTCTAAAGGCCCCTCCTCTTAATCTCCAATGAAATAATATTTAAGAGGGGGGGCCTTTAGGAGCTGATTAGGCTGTTAAGGCTCTTCTCTCATGAATGAATGAATGCCTTATAAAAAGGGTATGCCTTCTGTCCTTCCTATCACATGAGGACACAGCATTTGTTCCTTCTCAAAGACAGCATCAGCTCAACGCCTGTAGCTCAACGGCTAGGGTACCAGCCACATACACTGGAGCTGGCAGGTTCGAATCCAGCCAGGGCCTGCCAAACAACAAGAACTAGAACCAAAAAACAGCCAGGCATTGTGGCAGGCACCTGTAGTCCCAGTTACCTGGGAGGCTGAGGCAATAGAATCACTTAAGCCCAAAAGTTTGAGGTTGTGAGCTATGACACCATCACACTCTACCTAGGGTGACATAGTGAGACTCTGTCTCAAAA